TGTCCCCGAAGGAAACTGGAAAATAAGGTTAGTTCAGAAAAGGACCTGTGCTATTCAGACTGGAGGTCCTTACGGAACAGGCAGGGAAGGATGAACTAGCTATAGGAAGCTTAAACATATTGAGGTTCCCTGTGCAGAAGGTGAAAATGCACGCAGTAACCTGGATATGGTTTACCATAACTTGTATATTGCCTTATGGTCTGTTCTTTGTTTTCTAAAATTCTTGTGGTCTCCACAAACAATATGTTGTTTTAAAAATACTGCTTGGTTATTAATGTCATTTCTGCAAGGAACCAAATGACAGATCTCAAATAAAAGTCAGGCTTGCAAAGCTACCCACAGTTGGTTGAGCTGGGCTGAGGCCAAATATTTTGAGCAGAAGAGCTGTGTGATCCCACCGTGGGAGCTCTAATATCTTCACGTTTAAGAAGGGGAGAAGTTCAAGCAGGAGGTGTTGGAGTGTCTCAGAATGGTAATTCCGAACAAATATTTGGTTGAATTCGATGGACAGTTATAGCGAGTCACATTTTTGGAAATAAAATTTCCAAACACATTTCCAAAATACGCCAGTCGGCTCTTTTAGATTAGAGAGACCACATGATCACCCTGGTCAGACTCCAGGGACCAGAAAAAAAGAGTTGGCGGACCAGGTCTCATCCCCAGCTGCCTGGCGCCCACCCTAAATCAAGTATTTACTTGTCCAAAATTACTCTGTTTACTTCTTGGCTCCCAGAATTTGGTCCCTTACTAGAAAGACATCTGGGCTCTAAGAACTGCTATCCTCTGTGCCAGAGATTCAGAACCCCCTTTTAGCCATGCAGCTACGTGATTCCTTTATTATTTTTTCTTTTTTTCCTCTTTTATTTTCTTTTCTTTTTGGCTTCAGCTGAAACAGGCAAAGAGCTGAAGCAGCATCTCGGGGACTGGCAAACATCTCGGAAACTCTGAGCAGGGCAGCAAGTGGGAGCTGGGCCGTGTGAGCAGCCACAGAGGCTCTGCTAGAGCAAAACCCGCTGTGCAGCGGGCGGCCGGCGGGCGACGCCGCTGAGGGATGCCCAGAGCATCGCACTGGCCTCTTGCTCATGCCCTGCTCTGTATTCCCCCAGTCTCTCCTCCCTGCGGGCAGCACATACAGAAGCTGCCAACCTCTATAAGCAGCACCTGGTAACACCACATACCTGGCCTAGACTCCTCAGTACATGTGCTAACCTCTTCCTTCCTTACTGTCACCATTCCCTGAAAGTACCTTAGAATTATATGGTGTTTTCTGATCCCTGAAGCATGCTAAAAGGGAGGAAATCTGGTCTTCTGCAGTCACTAAGAAAACTTCTGCTTCTGTCTTACCTTTAGTATTGCTCTGGAAACATCCACCTGGGAAAATCCATTTAAGAACCCACATGCTTATAATATGCCTTACATTAAGAAAACAAAACACATTTTAATTTATGACACACACTGGTAGGGGTGTTAGACAGTGACAAAGCCAGAAACATCCACCTGGGAAAATCCATTTAGAACCCACATGCTTATAATATGCCTCACATTAAGAAAATAAAACACATTTTAATTTATGATACATACTGCTAGGGGTGTTAGACAGTGACAAAGCCATAAACATAAAGCTTGCATTTGCAATGATCTTAGAGAGCGATATTTATATTCCTTTAGCACATGAGCAATTGTTGCTATTTGCGTCATTACACTTTTCTAGAAATTGTTATTTTGGCTGCCATTGTGAGTGTCAGCTCTAACGGCACAGGGGGCAACAAGAATTGAATGTCTATACTAAGTTATTTCTCCAGCACTTTCAGAGTTGAGTGATAAATGCAGTAACTAAAACTTACAGAGAAGTAAATTACAGGGAGGATCCTGGGTGTTGCATTGCTTTAAGATTTCTCTTTCCTACAGTATGTTTGATTTGTTTTGTTATTTTAATTCCTTCCAGGAATAATCTCTTCCAGGCCTGACTCCTGACTGAGTGTCTTAATCGGGAAACCCCTTACCTCTGATTGAAAAGGCATATTTTGTCAATCACTGTGTGACCGGGGTCGTGGGGGCCCGTTATCCATTATCTCGGTCGCCACCAAGCAGGGATCTGATGCAGCAATTCCAAGGCACAGAACACCTTGCATTCGTGAATCAGAAATTTAGCTGGTAACACAGCGACCCACAAGGCCAATGGCTGTGTATGTTGTCCGTGGTGCCTCTCGCTGGGATCAACGCCACTGCCCAGTCCACCCAGCTTTAGTCTAAAATAGGGTGAGTTACCAAAGCCCAGAGTGGACACAGTGAACAGTTGGATCCTTGTGCTAGTTCTCACTTCAGAGGGAAGAGCTGCAGTTCTCAAGCAAGCAATGAGCGAGGCAACAACTTCCAGAATTAATGATATCTAGAAAAACCCTCATACCTGCATGATGATACAGGAAGAGCAGATCCTTTTCATAAAGAGGGTGTGGACACGATAGCTAATCCTAACGTTTTAAGCAGTAATACTTCAATCTTGCACAGATTCTTTTTAACCCAGCTGTCCTTCATCCAACTTTTGAGAGCCTTTCCATGCCTATAGCTTGTGTAATGCTGTGAGTGCTGAAGTGCCGTGACAGTGGCACAATAACAGTGGCTGCTGTTATTGATACACCTCTTGAAGAGGTAATGAGAAAGAGGGAGTGCTTAGACAGGCATGTTTGATGCTGCTGGGGAATTGCCTCATGTTCAACTCACACGCCAACTTGTCCTGTTGAGGGGAACCAGAGGAGCCTATGCAGAGCTGCAGCCCTGCTCTGGGCACATCCCGTGGGAATCGGCATTCTCTTCCAACTGGCTTCACTGGAAGCAACAGAAAACTGTGGCCCCAGGATGAGCAACTTGCAGCTGTGAAGATATTTGGGACAAGAACATGGGCCAAGTCATGTTTGAATTGAAGTTTCAAGGAGAGCAGGAGTAAAGCCTGAGCCTTCATTTGTTCAAAAGTGGAAGCCTTTAGGGGCAACTGGATGCAGAAATATTCCCTTATCACTTAGATCTTTACCTCTTTTTATTCCACTATAGTGACTTAAATAAGTTTATTTTACATGCTTCATAAAAGAGCACACACTGCCATGAAGGATCAGGCAGCTTCAAGCTCACTGACTACCTTCTAGGCCAAGTATTGACCTCTGCAAACTCCTATTTCAAAAGCTCTGCAAAAGTTTGCTAAAGTGAAAATATAACTGTCCTTTCAGAGAGAAACAGATGCTAAACTTCTGTGTTCTCTCCTTATCATGAGTTTCCTGAATTCCCCACTTTTGTCTCTTCAGAACTTAACCAATCCCACACTTGTCCCCAAAGAGCTTCCTATATAGCTTCCTAACCCGGGGTTCACCTCTGCTCCTGCAGTGTGGTTTCATGGCATTTTGCAGGCCACTAGATGACTCGGAGAACAGTCACAGTTCAACTGTAAACAGACTAGCATGAGAGAAGATGATTTTCATGATTCCTATTAATGCCACTTCAGCCTTGAAGTAAAAGACTGAGTAATGGCCCTTATTTTAGCATGCAGCTTCTCCTACTAGCTCCGTTCCACATGAGACTATTGATTAAAATCCAGCTGCTGTATTTAACGATGCATCCTCCTGCAGTGCTAAATTATATGGGCACTCTCCATATCTTGTCAAATAGCCATAGATCCATTCATGCTTTTAAATGTACTGATCAATGCTTCTGCTGTGGTTAGAGGGTTGCTCACCACAAGCATAGTTCACTGAGATATCAGAATCAATGCAAATCCTACTGGATGGGCATGCATGAGCTTTGTGGCCACAAAACCTAGGGATTTTTAACCAGTAATATCTGCTGCAGTCCCTGGAGCATTAGAAGCTAAGGGCAGTGACCTCCTATCAGTTCCCTTAGAACTGTTTTGCAAGGACTCTGAAAAGCAGGGATGGTTTGTGGGAGCCATTCGAAACCCAGACCACGACATCTTGAAAAATGGCTTACTGCGTAGTAAAAAGCAATTATTTCTTTTTCAAACGCACGTCACTGTGTGTGACTTCAAAAACAACACACTATAGATACCAGGGTACAAGCAAGTGTCCTCTCCAGATTATGAGAATAAAGAATTTCAGGTGCATTAGTTCCAGGGTCCAAAATATGGCCACCATGTCAGGGGGAAGAATGTTTAACCCAAATCTGGTATTTTTGGCTCTGTTTGCTGAAAGCAAAAGTACTAGTGCTTCCTTGCACAAAGAAACTGACTTCACGTGCTGCTGCCAGTGTATCTACTCGTGTATCTGCTCTTAATGTTGTTTGCTCTCTGAGGATCCCGTTGACAAACTCAAGCAGGGAAAGGTCTGAGAGTATCTCCCTCAGGCAGAGGACACAGCCAGCTTTCCAGAGGACACCAGGTGCCAAGGCTCTGAAACCTGCTGAGCCCACTGTTTTGAGGAGACTGGTACAACACAGCAGAAGGCGTGTGTCTGTATTCTGTGAAGTGGCAAGGGGTGCTGAAGGCTTAATCCAGAACTGAAGTCAGGTTGTGGCAGTGGAAACAGGCAATCAGGAGCGCTTTTGGCTATTCTAAGAGAGTTTATAAAAGGACCAGCCTGAACAAAAAACCAGAAGCTAGAAGATCAATTTCATTTTCCTGCCACAGGTGGGTAAGTAGGAATTTAGGGAGGACTGACGACACTGTATTTTTGTGGTTCCTATGGTGGCATGCACAGACAAACCAATATGTAGAAAATTCAAGCCTGTGCAAGTGGTGTACATACACCTAAAATGGGAGCTTACCTGACATGCACTCAGAGACCCTTCATTCTTGTATTGCAGAACAGTTTCAGAGAAAATATTGATCTCACTATCAAGGAACTGATCTCTGACCAATCTATGCCATTAAGCCTGGGTACTAAAAGCTTGTCCCAAGTTAGTATTTTCAGGTTACTCAGAAAATATTCAAGTGAGGAAATGTTTTTATGATCTTCCTGCTGCCCTGTTTCATGTCAATAGAAAAAAACAGACTTGATTCACTTGACTCTCAGAATGTATCAACATGCAAAAACAGACCTATGAGCTTACTTTATTCCTGAATTCAGTGGACGCTCCAAATTCAAAGAGAAACTTCACTACATCATTGTGGCCTTGCTGTGCAGCAAAGAACAAAGAAGTTGCACCTGACTGTAAGGAAAAAATGGATTAAAACAACCCAAATATGTAATACACTTGACTGAAGTATACATTTCAAATTAAAACATACTGAGCACAATAGAATATCAGCTGAAAAAAAAAATGGTAATAACTTTGAGGACTCCAGAGGACACAGGTATGTTAGGTAAGTGGTCAGTTTTCTGAGGGATCTGTCCAGGATCAAACACAATTCAATTTCCACAACGGGCCTCTGCACAGAGCTTCTAGTACAGACCTCTTAGAATCATCTACTTCTCAGTCTCCAGATGGGGAGAGAGAGCCCAGAGTGAGAAGAGTCTCAGACAAGAGATGAACAACCAGTTTGAAATTCACCCCATAGTACCTGCCAACCTGCCCCTTCGCCCAAGACAAATGAGAACTTGGGATGGATTTGGGGAAGGAACATTGTGGAAGAATTGGAGAGAGAGTTATTTGATGCAGCAGAGCTCTGTCTTCCTTGACCCTACCCGGACAAAATGTGAATGCTTTTGGTGTAAATCACTGTTGTCTCCGTCAGGACTACCTTCCCCTCCAGCCAAGTAGCCTTCAATTAGATACAATCAGCCCCTGCAACTTCTATTTTCCAGCTCAGTGAAATCTCACTGAAGAACTGAAACCCTGTATTTTACACAATGATGTCTGTCATTAACATCTGAGTAAATCAGGAAGAAAAATGTATATTTTAACAGCTGGAGTGAAGGAAAAAAAAGTAAAAAAAGAAGGCAAGGAGGAAGAAAAAAAGTAGGCTTTCCTGGCTTTGGGCTTTCTCATCTCATGTAGGAGACGCAGGAAAATAGAGACCCCTTCTCACTTGCTTGATGTTCACAGCAACTTCAGAGTACAAGAGCATTGATTTGAGTATGAGGATTTACTTTCAAAATAGTGCTGTTAGTCTTTATGGTTCATATTTCATCTGTTTTGCTATGCCTTCCTCTCTGCAGCAGAGTGATATTGGAACATTCCTGTGTTTCTCTTTTTATTGGTTTGCTAAATCAATATGCCCAGGGTGATATTCAAGAGCATGTCTGTAAAACTCTATTCTCAGCCTCTCCTTTTGTTGCTCCTTTTCAGGGAATGTTTATCGAAGGGAAAGTACATGCTTAAGTACATGTTTTGCTGGAACAGGCTTTCCCTGAAAGACCTTGACATCATGATTAAAGCAGGTTTAGTCTAGTTAGTGCCAAGATGCTTATACCATCAAATATGGCTTTCACTGACTCAGTAACTTGCAGCTATCAGCATGAGATTAATGCTAGTAATCCCAGGTAAACAAGGAAAGCAAGAAACATCTACTTCCACTCTTCAGAGAAGAAAATCCAATAATCCAATTGGCTTAAGAAAGCCAATGTCACGCCAGTCTTCAAAAAAGGCAAGAAGGAGGACCCAGGCAACTACAGGCCAGTGAGTCTCACCTCGTCCCCGGAAAAGTGATGGAAGGGCTCATATTGGCTGTTGTCTCCAGCCACATGGAGGACAAGAAGGTGCTCAAGAGTAGTCAGCATGGATTCACCAAGGGAAAATCTTGCCTGACTAACCTGATAGCCTTCTATGATGGAATGACCAGCTGGATAGATGAGGGGAGAGCGGTGGATGTCGTCTATCTCAACTTCACCAAGGCTTTTGACACCGTCCCTCACAACATCCTCCTGGGCAAGCTCTGGAAGTGTGGGATAGATGAGTGCACAGTGAGGTGGATTAGGAACTGGCTGGATGAGTGCTCCCTCAGCAAGTTTGCTGATGACACGAAACTGGGAGGAGTAGCCGATACCCCAGAGGGCTGTGCTGCCATCCAGAGGGACCTGGACAGACTGGACAACTGGGCGGTGAAAAACCTCATGCAATTCAACAAGGTCAAGTGCAAGGTCCTGCACCTGGGGAGGAATAACCCCAGACACCAGTACAGGCTGGGGACCGACCTTCTGGGGAGCAGCTCTGCGGAGAAAGACCTGGGTGTCATGGTGGATGATAAGTTGACCATGAGGCAGCAGTGTGCCCTCGTGGCCAAGAAGGCCAATGGGATCCTGGGCTGCATTAAGAAGAGCATCTCTAGCAGGTCGAGGGAGGTGATCCTGCCCCTCTACTCAGCCCTGGTGAGGCCGCATCTGGAGTACTGTGTCCAGTTCTGGGCTTCACAGGACAAGCGGGATGTGGAGCTGCTGGAGAGAGTCCAGCGCAGGGCTACAAGGATGATCAGGGGCCTGGAACATCTGCCCTATGAGGAGAGGCTGAGGAAGCTGGGCCTGTTCAGCCTGGAGAAGAGAAGGCTGAGAGGGGATCTAATCAGTACCTCAAGGGAGGCAGTGAGGAGGATGGTGCTGGTCTCTTTTCACTGGTGGCCACTGACAGAACTAGAGGTAATGCCCACAAACTAAAACACCAAAAGTTCCACAGGAACTTAAGGAAAAATTTCTTAACAGTGAGGGTGACAGAGCACTGGAACAGGCTGCCCAGAGAGGTTGTGGAGTCTCCTTCTCTGGAGATCTTCAAAACCTGCTTGGATGCAGTCCTGTGCCACGTGCTCTAGGTGACCCTGAGGGTGCAGGAGGGTTGGACTAGATGACCTCTAGAGATCCCTTCCAACCTTAAGCATTTTATGAAATACTGCCACCCCTATTGCCTGCAATTGTCCCCTATCACTGCTCTCTTAGGACCCATGCACCTCTGTCGGTCCCATAGCAATTTTGCTTTCTCTGCAGCCAGTACACAAACCCAGAATAGTTGTAGCTATTCCTACAGTCACTTCCACAGAGCTAGCCACTGACGTGCCTTTCCCAAGGATAAAGAAAGTTCCAGGAAAACAACATGCCATGGCCTGAGAGATGTCTTGAATGCAGAGTAGACATGCAGGAAAAATACGGATGACTAAGCTATGTGATCATTAGGGATGACTTGGCTCTGACTGAGAATCAGAAACTCCAAAGCAACTGAGCCAAAACAAATCCTTGGCTAGCAATAATATCAACTCCATTTTAATCACCAGACTCTGCAAGTCAAAAGGTAAAGGACTCCTCCTTATCATAATACATTTATCCCATTCTGAGAGTTGTAAGTTACTGTGTCAATAAGTAAAATGGCAGATGCATAAGTGGATTCACCATGGGGTTACACCTCATATGTAATTGCCCCATGTCAAGTGGATGTCCTGGAAATGTTTGATGAATTACATGTAAATGTAGCTCCGGCATCTCATTTTCTATCAGAATTTCCAGACATCTGATTCTTTGATGTCCTCAAGAGAACAGATCGCCTTTATAAATGCACTGTACAGCAAATACCAAATAAGCAGCTGGCAAATAAGCACTCCTTTATTATTTCCAGTACACAATAATCACTTAATCAATCCCTGTTTGAACACAGAACTTCTCCTACCTCTCTCTGTAGATTGATATCTGCTCCTTGCAACACCAATTCCCGCACACAATCTATGTGGCCATAGTAAGAGGCTACCATCAGAGCTGTTGTGCCAAGCTGCAGTAAGGAAAAACAAATCAGTACCTTCAACAGACACCTTCAGCAACAAGTTAGGCTGTATGGAAGAGACACTGCCTTTTCTGAAAAGCTGACGGATGCTTATGACCATTGACCAGAGAACCTGTTTGTTCTTTTCTTCTTCAAAGCGGAGCATTTTCCCCCTAAATAGATTCTAAAATAATTTGAAACTTGCTATGAAAAATATTTTTAAAATGAGGAATTAATCAGTGTTAAAGCAAAAACTTTACAGACTTGCCCACAATGCTAAGGCATGACCCTCAAGGAACCACGTATGCAGTGACTTTGTATTATTACCCCTAAGTGCAACATTAAAAACAGTAATTTTTATTTATATATGACTTTTTATCAGAGAATATCAAAGATCTTTTTAGCATCTGCAGAATAACAACATTAGATACATATGTTAACTGACTTTTCTGGCCTCACATAGGGAGTCAGTGTCAGGAATTAGTCCAGATGTCTTCACTTCTAATTCCTTGTCCAAATGACTACTGCAAACTCCGTCTGCAGAAGGCCGGAACTCTTTATGTTATAACAGATAAAGCCCTAAACCAGAGCTCTGTGTTTAGGTTACCAAGGTGGCCCTAGGAGGTGACTGCTTCAGCGAGCCAAACAGTGTGTAGGTTGTATATGTGTCATATATCAATGACACATGTGTGTCACCTCATGTGTGTAGGTTATATATGTGTCATGTATGGAAACATTGTGTACACATGGATGAAAAACATCCTTCTAAAGCATCTAAAGCATCATACATACCAATGCAATCTAAGGAAGGAATGTATGATATTGGAAAGAAGAAGCATAGAGCCTTAATTATATGAAAATACTTTAGTCTAGAAAACATGTATGCCTGATATAATTAACAAATCAGGATATTTTACAATACATTGCAAAAACTCTTGATCAGAACTAGTCTTAGCTCATGAAAAAAAAAAAAGAATAGTCATGGACTTTATTTCTTGATATCTACCTCCATCCTGTTTACTTTGCACCCTTTCCTATTAAAATATTCCCCTTGAGAATGACAAGGGGATTGATTCATAGAATCAATACCAGAAAATATTGCAGGACAATGATACCTTCCTACAGAGCAAAAAATGAATGGACAGGTTCCCGACTTTCAGAAAAAGCCAACGGGAGCTGGGCATCAAACTATCGGCTTAGAAAATCTCTTGCACTTTGAAGCTGCTCAAAGTGAGAGGAGCTGGGGCACGCTCACATTTCAGGCTAGAAGTAGCACTAAACCTGTGCAACACAGGTATGATTCTCAACAAGTCACCCCAAACGCAAGACACAGGAAACTTGGAGACTACTTAGCCTTGGCTTTCCCCTGCTCTTTACAATGCACTCAAGCCAAACACACTCAAGTAACTGCCCACATGCTCTACACAGACTTGCATGATATTACACGTTATATGTTTTTTCAGCCCCAATCTAATCTCAAAACTAAATTAAACTCATGCCAACGCAGTCAGGAAATCCCCATCAAATCTATCTATCTATGCATCTGGGCCCCTCTTTGCCTGGAAACCTTTTGTGCCTTTGTGCTGGCGTCAAGTATGGGAGAGGAAGGAAGATGTTATGGGGCCAGCAGTTCTGGCATAGCAGGCACTGTGTGCCCCATGGGGCTGCACATCAAATGCAATCTCGTACGTCGCCTAAACAGAGACTATGGTCCCGGGTTATTTTAAACTAATTATGAGGAGCTCTGGTAGCTGACAGAATCATAGCTACCTATGATCAGTTGAGTCGGCTTGTCACAGTGATCTATTACTACAATGACATTTCCTTGCAAAGAGAAGCCCGAGGTGCTAGAATCTGTGTTTTTAATGTCAACTCCACAGATAACTATGTAAGACACATTTTTGAGTGTTGGCAAATTCCTAACCCCTTGCCACTGATGTAAATCATCACACTATTTTATCTCGAATTGCAAACTTGCTTCCTGGCAAGAGAAGGTTTTAAATCATGTCTAAGTGTCATAAGGCTCTCAAATGTCTCATGTGAGATGCCTGCCACACCCTGTGTGCAGCAGGCTATGGAAAAGGGATGTAAGTCAGCGTAGTGGGCATGTGTGTATTGCATGCATACACTGTCTTTGCAGTCCACATCTACTCGCCCACTGTTCAGCAGCAGCTGGAGAAGAGCCAGGTTTCCTTTTCTCGCAGCCCAAAATGCAGCATTGGCGAGCGGTGTTTCTTTCTGGTGAAACAAACAAATAAACAAAAAAGACAAAAGCAGAAATAGAAAACTTTGGAAGATACGGTGGACAAGCACACACATGCAAATTCTGCATTCAAACCAAGCATGCTTCAGTTCAAGTGCACTGTTCTCTTAAAACCAGGCTGTGGAAGGAAGGGAATTTAATTTATCTGCACAATTGAAGAGATCAATCTTCGTGTGTTATTTCACGTTGCTTCAAGTCCTCTCTGTGTCCATAGCAGCCTATGACTCTTAGCTTGCTCTGTAATGAGAGCTGATGACGTGAGTTCAGATCCCCAGGGAAACATCACAAAAAACAACATGCTGCTACCTGGTACCTGCACTGTCTGTTTGTGTAGCAGGGCTGAGCGTGCTTATGGAGGGTGAATCATCCTGCTGATAAACCCTGCTGCAGGACATCCTGGGTTTCAGGTGTTTTCTCTACTTTGTCCCTCTTTGCTGCAGAAGAAGTTCCGGTACATTAAAAGTTTTGCTCATGCATCTCCCATACTTAGGTCTGTCTGCTTCCTGGAACTAGCGCTCCCTGGAACTGTGGTTATGTGAGATATCTTACGGGTGATGCCGGAAAAAAAAGGCTTCAATCATGATGTCTACACACGTGGAAGTTCATTTACTGTACACACAAGGTGGTATGCAAGGCACAAGGTGGTATGTAAGGCAAAACTGAGAAACTCTGCAATCCAGATACCGGAAACCACTGTTAAGAGTGGAGTGGAGCGCTGAGGTGAAGCATAGCTGTGGTAGCAATGACACATGTCCAGTAGCAGGTTCAGCATCTGTTTTTAAATAAGGCTCAATATCACTAACAGTTCAATAAAGCAGCATTTCACTGATGGTAATCTGAGACTGCCACAGTGTCAAGAGCACCGAGGGGACCCTTAGTCTCCAATAAATCCTGGCTTCAAGATAAGCTAAAGGGACTGCAGAGTGAATACGTCAGTCATTCGTCTGCAGAATATTTAATATTCACTTTGCCCGTGCCCAAATGTCAATGCAAAAGGGTAATGTGGTAGAGAAGAAGAATTAAATAGTTTTATGTTTTAAAATACACACATATATCAGAGTATAGATGGCTTCCCTCACTGACACGAAAGTCATAAACCTCACAGAAACCTACAGACACAAGCTCAGTTCTGTGTGAATCTGTTCCAGACCTGTCACACTAAGTAACTTTAATTGATTTTATTTTTATTGTTCTTAGTAGCTAGCAAGTAGGAAAATAGGCATTGTTGAAGACAAGAGAAGTTTCAACTATTCTGTAAGTCATGAGTCATTTCTTATAAATTGATAGCAATATTCTTGTGCCTGCATGTATAGAGACAGGAGTCTGGAAAACAGAATTACACCAGGCACAATAAGCTAACTTTCGTGTTCCTCTTCCAGCGGATGGACTCTGCATTTCCACTAAAGGATCTATAGACACTGTCAGTTGGGATACAGCTAACATTTTTTACCCTCTCTGCTGGCTGCTATTCATGAATTACAGTTTTTCTGTCTTTACCCCTACAAACTCATTAAAATTTTATGCAAATGCAGATAGGTGACTTACTTAAACACAGAGGGCCTGCTTTGCCTTAACTGACTATGCAGATATTTTTTACAGAGCTAGTATTTAGTATTTAGGAATATTGTCTCTATTGTTATGTGCTTGGTGGAAAATTATTACAAAAGAATGCTCTTTAGATGTTACAGAGTAGAACACCACATTTCAAGGTAAAGAAAGGAGCTTGACAATGACCAATGCTCCTTATTTTTTGTCATTTCACACTGTCCCATGAAGGTTTGCAAAACTTTGAGGACTACAATATAATAATATGAAGAAAAGTTATTTCTTCCAGCCTGGTTCTCACTATGAGGGCATAGTCGCAATGTAATTACATTTTGTACTGCCTATAAGCTCTTTACATATCAAATTAGTGTGAAATGAGAGGTGTGAAGTTTTTATGATCCATAAATTCCTCCCTCTTTTTTTTTTTCCATGTAGTTCTTATACCAGCAAAACTGTCCTCATACTTTGGATCATGTCCAAGCTATGGAAGAATTCTCAAATGCATCAAGGACATGAAATCAGGTCTTTCCCAGCAGTGTTTTTGACCCAATTGCAAGGACTGCTACCAGTACTTTTACTTTCCCTAATGCCCCCCACACTGCTGGAAATTCCTTATATAAAAGAACACTCAGAGCATCAACTATGTAGTGATTAGATAAAAAGAAAAAAAAAAAAACAAACAGAAACCTGAACTATTTTGTATGCTAAGCTGAATGGAATGTGCGAAAATCATTCAAACAGCCAAGCCACTCACCCGGGCACAGCGTGGAAAAGTGCCGTGTAGCAATTTCTCTTCTATTTTCAAAGCAAAGATTTGTACATGTACAGACGGTATCAGCAATACTGGCATCAGCAGGAGGCACAACAAAAGGCATTATTTGGGGCTTAATGATCAGATGACAGAATAATTTTGGAGCAGTAAACTGGTTTTAAACCTTGGCCATGATGTAAACGCTGGCTGCTGTTGTTTAGCTCTCTATCCAGTTCTCTCCCCACATGTATTTCTTAGGGAGAGGTAATGGAGAATAGCAAGAGATTAGCTGATTAAAATTTTGGTGCCATGATAAAGCTAATTTACTTCTAAAGAAATCCTTAGCACACGCAACTGATCCCCATCACTGGCAGCCAGGGAACAGAATATAATAAAGGTCTGACAAGGTGATTAGCTGATAGCTTTGATGAAAACTGCATATTTCATTATATCATTTGCTCTAGCATCAGTAAGTGTCAGGATACAGCTGCCTGCACTTCATCAAGAGCTCTGCAGCATTATTTCATACTCTGGCTCTGATACTAATTTTAGTTGCTTCTGCACTTTTAGAAAAGCCCAGGGGTGGAAAGCCTGCACTGCATTCATGCTGTACTGACATCAGGCACAAGAATCTATTCAAAAAGAGTCTACAGGAAAATGTATTTTACAAGTCTGACAAGACCTTTTCTATATTGGAATTCAGGAGAAATAAAATGGAATAATATAACTCTATGTGTCATATTAGGACTACTGAGGGGGGGACTGATTTGAGTGCTGGGAACATCATGTTCCCTGCCCTTTCTTTTCAGTAGCCACATGCAGGGAAGAGGCTGCTCACAGGAGGGTAACATGTGAGGAGGGTGGCTGTAGTCCTTGCACAGCGGTCTTGAAGGCAAAAGAGAAGAGGCAACAATCACTTGCACAGCGGTCTTGAAGGCAAAAGAGGCAACAGTTATAGGGCGAGAAAAGAGGGGGAAGGAGAGGCCTGGCCCAGGGCCTGGTTCCTGGACTGTCAAAGCACGAGAAAAATCCCTTTTGGCTCTCAGGTTCCAAAGCGGTCCCAGGGAAAAGGAGAATCTGAGTAGAAGATTTCAGGAAGAAGAGCTGAAAATCTGAAGCAAGCATGAGACAATGGAAAATATGAGTGGGATTGGGAGGAAAGACGAAAGGCTTTGGTGGTCAGCAGCACGTCCTACATGCAGAATCCTGAGCAAGGAAAATCACAGAATCACAGAAGGGTGGTTGAAGATACAGAGGGAAGCTTAAGCAGGCAAAAACGCAGGGAAACAGCTAGAAGAGTGTGAAGTTCATGGGAGTGGACAGTGAGAAACACGCAGAAGCGCTAGCTCATGAGTGAGCAGGATGAGAAGCGGGGAAACATGGGGAGACAGCAGCAAACGGGGACCAAAGGAGCATGTGGTAAGTACATGGGCCTCTCAGGGGAAGAAAAAACACCCAGCAGAGAGACAGACACAGAAAATAGAGAGAAAGCAGGGAGGGGTGGCATAGGGGGGCATTTTGCCAGGGGGAGAGGGATCCAGCACCCCATATAGGAGCGCTCCAGGGGACAGAGAGTGAGGAACAGGGCACAGAGAAGAAGACCTGATAGACAAGGCAAAAAGCCAAGGAGGGCAAAGTGTCAGGAAACGCAAGAAAACACAGAGCTGCCACCACATTATGGCCTCAGCTGCTACCAAAACTAGGGGTGAGCGCAGGAGCTCATTGAGGCAGGTACCCATGAGGGCAGGAAGAAAGCAAGGAAAGAGCAGGAGGGTGCAAATGAGCCCCAGAGATGGAGCAGAAGGATGGGGTGGACTGAGGAGATGTGAGGTCAAGAGAGGGCCAAAAAGGAGATGAATGCAGGGGTTGCAACACGCAGCGCACGACTGAGCACCCAGGCCTAGGCTGAAGCAGGGGCAAGGAGGGGGAACAGCCCCATGCACCAAGCGCAGCAACACAAGGGGCACGACCACGGGCCAGCCTGGAGCTGCCCACTGATGCAGTGAGAGACTGCAACGGATCCAAAAAGTGCCTAACAGAGAGCGGCGGTAGCACAAAACTCAGCTGTTGTCCTGGCTGTATTGCTGCTGCCTCCCTCTTCGCTGGCTAATCTCACTAATGCCCCCACTCTGATTTAAAAACTCATTTGGGACGAATTTCTGCAATGGGCGTGCATGGGGGGGAGAAGGGGAGTCTGACTGCCCTGCAGCATCACGAGCATCGCAGTGCGGATGCACAGGGTGCCTGCCCCATTGCCCCATCGCAGGTGGGGAGCACGCTGCTTTCCTCTCTTCTACCCCCCGCTCCCGCCTTCCCCTCCGTATTTCTTATTTTAAAATAAATAAATACATACATACACACATACATAAAGAGTATGACGGCGCATTTCAAGGGCTGCCTCCGCGGAAAGCGCAAAACGAGAGGCCGAACGTGCCCCCCCACACACACACACACCTCCTCCCTCCTCCCCGCTCACCTTGAAGGACATGGTGCGCATCGCAGCGCCGCGCAGGCAACCTCTCAGTTATTGCAGTATATTCACATTTGGAAAGTATTCCGCAGTATTAAAATTTTATTCATTTATTGTTTGTTGTTATTTTATGCATACCCTCCCCCGAAAACCCCCGCCTCCCACTGCTCCAGCACCCTATCCTGAGCCTCAGGACCCCACGCAGCAGCGGGCTCGGACCAATCTAGAGGGTTTTCCCGTTGCGTGGACCCAGCCCCGAAACGATGCAAAAGCTCCCCCTGTCCTGGCTGGCATGCTGCCCTTTCTGGTTTTTTTTTTTTTTTTTTCATTTTACATTTTTTTCCCCCTTCGTATCAGGGAAGCGCTGTCCAAAGGTTCGTCCCGGAGCCTATCGCGCACCCAAAACGCGTGGCAGCGCGAGCGGATTGGGCCCCGGCTTGTGTCCATCACGGGAAGATGCCGCGTGGTCAGGAGGAGAGCAGGTTCCCTAAGGCTTAATTTTAAACCCAGAAAGCTGGTTTATGGCCACAGAGATGGTGCTGCAGCGCTGTCCCAACCATGCCCTGCTCTGCCTGGCTGCGGCCGGCGTGCTGCAAGGCGGGCGAAACGGGGCACGCTCTGCTGGGGGATTCCTGAATTTCTTTGCTGTTGTTGGTTTAAACGGAGCCCTTAGGGGCGGTTGTTCTTTTTGATGTGCAAATAAATCCCGTTTGCAAGAAAATTACACATGTGCATGGAGAGCATAAATATACTTGCGCTAAGATCCAAGCTGTTTATTCTGCAAATCTGCGAGCGGAGGGTTTTCTGCAGCTTTTGCTCCTGAGGCAAAATTCATCAGTGCACCCAGTAAAACAAGCTGTAGGCAAGCAGATGAGAGCTGCTCATAGCATAAGCTCCTCTTAGAGGCCATTGCCTGGTGTGAACCTAACCTGAATTACCGCGAGGATCATAAAAATGCAGGTGATGGTTCTGATTGCTCCTGAAACTTAAAAATACTGGACAAAGTGAGTAGATTGCATAGTTAAGAGTCATCCTAGCTCTGATCCAGCTGCACAAATGCCTGCCCATTGGTAGAGGAAAATATTAGCAATTCCTACACCCTCCCTGCCTCACCCCTGGAAAATCCCTGTATTTATTCAAGCTATCTTGAATAATATGCCAACCATAAAACAAGCAAGGGCCAAAAGATGTTAGTTCTCTGACAAAGTAAAAACAAAGAATTCTCTGGATGAGCTACAAAGAGGGAGAGTATTACAGTTCAGTTTGTCTTTTGGGCTATATTTATTTTATATTTTAAGGGACAAATTTTCCAAATGCCTTTCTTAATCTGCCCGCAAGATCTGAATCTGCCCGCTATTTTCAGTTGTGTTTCCTGGGTTGTGATTTTGCTTTCAGGTGGCTGTTTTCACATTCAGCTGCCATAATGTGTGAGTGCTGAGTACATACGTTGGGGATGTGCTTTTGGAGACCCTGTCAAAAGTTACCCCGGAGAGCGTCTTGGAACTGTCTTTCTTTGTGCGCATCCCTGTCTGTTACCACACTCAAAATCCTGTTTATGGGCAAAGAGAAAACACACTTTACATGTATAAAGCCAAGTACGCATTTTGATTTCAGTGAGGTGGCTTCAGATGCTGCCTCATCTTGAGGACCAATAGCTGACTTGGACTGTAGCAACTGCTAGACTGCCGAGCTCAGTACTGTGCATAACCCAGGACATGGTGCATTGGCAAGTGTGTTTCTGCTCTAACTTCTTGTATTTGCTGTACAGCAGTAGGCCCATCATATTGATACATTTGCTTCCCAGTTATTGGGAGCCTGCAAGATTAATTCCCTGACTCTAATTCGTTTTTTATGAAGTTTTAAGAAAGAGAAGATGGAGCTCTTAATATAATGTTATGGATTTCAGGCCTGTTTGCATTGTTTTCCTTCTTGTAACATGTGTTGTCAGGAATATTTAGTTATTTTAGTGTTCAAAAATTTAAATGGAGCTTTTTTTCAGAAATAAATTACTCAGTGGTTAAAAATTAAAAGGCAGTTTTAAAATGTAATTGGAACAATCTTTAGAATTTTCAGTTACAAATTTTGAAGTCTATTTACTCAGTCAACAATAGGAATGTTTTATAAGGTTGCAAATGAAAACTTATTGAATATGCTGGATAAAAAGGGAAGACTAGTGTGAGAAATAGATTGTATTTCTATTTTTACTGAAGAAATGAATCCTCTTTACTACTCTAGTTCTCTCTGAAAGCTGAGTCATTGCCTTTTGGAGGATTGTTGTGTGTTTCTGTGTAGGACTTTTCATGTAGATTTGGGCAAGCCTTTTGCGCTAATATCTTCAAAAATAGCTCCCTATTTTGGGTTCTGTATGCTCTCTCATCTTGCAACCCAAAATGCAGACAGCCGGCTCAAAGGCTACTTTTGCAAACACCAGTTGAGTATTTTTGCACATCCATCCCTGTCAGTCTCCACTATTTGCTAGTGAAGGCAGGCTGTGCTGTCCAAAGCGGACTGCTCCTACTAGCTCAGGTATCTCCACACTACCGTGTCATCTTTGGTGGAGAAGAAAGACCTTGCAGCGTGTTGGCCTGACATCTGATCTGGCCCATTCTGCTGGCCAACGAGTAATCAAGGCCTTGTGCTGCTGCTCCTGTCTCTTCTCCTCTTTCTGTTTTCTAATCCACAGAGTATTTTGAAAGTCTCAGGATTGGCCAAGGACTTAGAGAGGTCCTGCAATAACTACAAATGGACCATGAAGTGTGCTTTACAGGGAGTTCACACATGCTAGACCTAAAGCAGAGTGAACCCAAACTTTCCAGGACGCATGTGTGCAGGCAAATTCATAGCATACAACATGCACAAAAAAAAATGACTATATTTACCTAACACAAGCTATACATCCCAGAGTGCCTGGCTATGCCCATCCTCTGCTTGGAAGCATCAATCATTCCAAAACTAGCACCTTGCATCACCCGAGATATCCTTCTGCCCAAGGGAATCCTCGGCTGCTCCCCGGTTGCAACTTATAATGGCCTCTGGTTCCTTCACAGGCACTCAGGGTTGAAGACCTGGGCTTCCATCTTTAAATAAGAACAGTGCTGTGCATCTCATGTGAAACACTTAGGCAATCACAGATAAAAACAGCTGCATGTCTCAAATGCATTTCTGCTTATGAAATTGCCTGACCATTGTTTGCCAAATGCTAGGATGTTGTAAAGTGACCATGAATTCAAGTGCCATATACTGCTGTTATTCTAACTTTAGGATATTTTTGGGAAAAAAAATCTTAAAATGAGAATAGTGAAAGATCTAAGAAGAGTTTTTAAATTATTTAGATTATGTTTTACAGCCTGCATTCAACAGTGAGTGCAGTCTTAAATCACGAAAGTGCCAGGACCCATCCCTCAACATGTCACTGTAAAAATGCACAGGCACGCATACACCCCGGGCACCTCGCCGCCGTGTTACTGAGGTGGTGTGTAGCCACCAAACTTGAACTATTTATCAGCGAAAAAGAAGCTGTTCATTTCAAGTCAAAAAGAGTATTCTGGCTAGCACTCTGTGCACAAAGATTTCAGTGGCATGCAGAGGAGATTATTGCATAGGAAATAAACTTCAGAAAATCTGATAAATCTGATGCTTGAGGTACTGGAATCACAAACCATGTAACGCAGCTCTAAGCAGCAATCCACAGGACTGCCTTGAGTTAACTCCTGCAGTAGCTCCTTTCCAGTACGTTTGCACTCCCTTTTTGAGACTGATTTGAGGGGTTGGGAAGTGCTCACACAGTGATTCTTCAAGGATTTTTACCCAGTTTGGTCGATGTTTTTCTTGTACAAATCCTAATCTAATCTCAGTGTGATCTGAATAGAAAATGGAATGCAGCGAAGTACAGAGGAAACTAATCCAACATAATGAGTGACTGCTAAGTCACACCCAGGACACTGTAAATTTCAAATGGTATATTGCACTTTTCATGTAGATTTTTTTTAGTAAATCATATTGTTATCCCGATTATTCAAGAGGGAGCTATGGAAATTAGAAATGTCTTGTAAATAAAATATTTTAAGATAATGCACTTTTAGATATTTTTTTTCTTTCTTTCTTTCTTTCTTTTTTCAGAAAGATGTATTTAATTTACCAGCAATAACTTGGATAAATCAGTCAATAAAACACAAGATTTTACATCTGGCCTAGCATTTACCTTAATATGCAAGTTGCTAAACTGTAGCCTAACCTGTTAGAGGGGCTATTTCTTGTTTCTGCAATGTTTATAAAAATACAGATCCCATTGTACTAAACCTGTTATGCAAACACATTCAGTCTGGGAGGTATTCTTAAAATAGAGAATAGTGAAGAAATAGAGAAGAATATTGAAGACATAGTGAAGAACAGAGTGAAATAGAACTATTTCACTCACAGAAATAGTGACACTAGCAGAAATTGTAAAGATGATTAGAGAAACAAAGCACCAATAAGCTGTCTTCTTTACTTTTGTGCAAATGCATATCACCCTTTGCATAACTGAACTTAATCACCTACATGTTAGTGGTCTGTATAGGTGATAGTAATTACCTATAGAGATGGTACATCATGATTAAAAAATTATCCTTTCTCTTCCAAGTTTTGGAATTTTGCCCTCCTGATGTTTTAGTACACCGTGTCCAGATTGTGACTGCATATTTGCTTCAGCTAACATTTCCTTTTCCTCTCCTTGCTTCTCCTCTGAATCTGTTGATTTTATGACTCAGTCTGAAGTTGGCTGTTTTCCTATCTCCATCTGCTCAACCAAAGTGAGGAAGGCCAGTGATCCCGCATTCAGGCACTTTGTCTTTGCAGACCTTCTAATTCCATGTGTAGCTCAGCTAGTGACTGATGCTGGTGCTGATCATGAAAACTGCAGTCTGTAGAATATAAACCTGATGGGCAGTTGAGCTTTTGAAATACAAATGGAAATGAACTCACGTCACAGGCATACTTCCTGAGTACTGTTTCTGTATTATTGTATAGAATTCTATTGCGTGAGGTTGCATGAATCTGAGGTACATTTAGTTATTGAACATACCAAGATCCATACTGGGAGGGCTTGGCATTACTTCTACAGAGCAGGTACTGACTAGGACTCATTTTTTGGCTTGAAATTGCAATTTCCTCTCCTGAAATGGGAATATGTTTAAAAGTACCAGACTTTCATCTTCCCTCTTCTTTTCTCTTAGTACTTATCTTCTATAAAGGGTGAGAATTGCCAAAGTCTTGCGTCAGTCACATACACATTTTTTATTATTTTTTGTTCACTGTCTCATCAAGTCATGAGATATTCTAGGAAGACATTTGCAGCTGGAATGGACTTGGAAAAGACAGAAACACAGTTCCTAGATAGCTGTGCACTTCCAAGGCATGCATGGGAACATTGGGAGCGCAGCAGTACTGAGAAGCAGTTCGATGAGCCCGTTGCTGTTTCTAGTATTTCTACTCAAAACCATCCCAACTGGCCTGATGTAGAGGGTTAAGGAGAAGTCTTTCCCACTGCCAGGTCTTCCTGTTATAACATGTAACAAAGTTACAAATGACCTATATAGAACACTCAAGCACTGCTTTAAAAGATGATGGTTTATAAGTCAGTCAAAAGATATGAGATGTTTCACTGAGAAATACAACGAGAAACCAGTCAAATTAGACACAGTTTTAAGGTTCAATGTTGTGCTCTGATGAGAAGGTAGCTGTGGATATTGCAGATTACCCTATCAGAAATGCGGAATTCATGATAGCACTCTACGATATGAAGATGTCAAGTAAACTGTTTAACATAGTGCAAGAAAAACTTAGCCCAGATGTGGTGAACATGAGATTGCTGACTGACAGTAGAGAAAATGATGCTGTCATGAGAAAAGCAGAGACCAAAATGAGCTTAAAAGAATGCATCTTTCCTTTTGAAAAGCAATGAATACACAAGGTTTGCCAGCACATAAATGTGTACTGTACTACTTCACTATTAAACCAGACTCCATGCAGATAATCTTATTTTAGCTTACGTGCACTCCAGTCTCCTTTCAGTAAGCCCAGTAAGAGTCTATTTATAGGCATGAGCTGAGTAATAAATGTGCATAAGCATTTATGACCGGAGGTGATAAATCTCTTACTTCTTTGGAAGAAGCAGGGAGCCCAACCGGAGCTAGAAGTGCCCCGGCTGTGTATTTACTCTAGGCTGCAAAAGAGCTTCCCTGATTAGCACTATCAAAGAGTAACGTCAGCTCCAGCACTTTGCAGGAAGCCTCTTCTCGGGCTGAATCTGCAGGACTGGCCTCAGCATGAATGCCACATATGAGACTTTTAGAGAGGGACAAAAAGAACTATTTAATCTTTAATGAATGACTTCAGAATCCAGACTCGGATCTGCCCAACTTGAAAGACTTTCTAGCTACCTGCTGACATACAGATTTGTTATTATCTCAGAGAAAGAGGGAATTCGCACAACCTCCGGTGAGGCAATGCAGGGAACCTGCTGCCTGCACAGGAATCTGAGGCTCTGCTCCTGCCTTTTTTTTTTTTTAACCTACCATGTACAGCTCACATTATACTGCTCACAAGTCCTCACCTGTGCTAATTCCTCTGTCTCTTAAGTTCTGGAATACATGGTGCTACCTTGCAATTCCTTTGGTAAGTCCTATTGTGCAGGAGCTAAACATTACAATTAGTCTTAGTCACCGAGGTTACATTCTGATGATTTCTCATTTTCATTGCTGGTTGCTGATCTGTGAACTCAATGTGCCAATTCCTAATTGCATTTTGAAATGGCAGTAGGAGGTGGTATTCTTAGAGGAGAAAATGCTATAGAGCAAACAACAATAGTGGAATGAAACAGAGAAATTACATTAGCCATGCTATTTTTAAGCAAACATTCCTGGCAAAATTTTAAATACATTCTGAAGTGTATTTTTTAAAATTGAAAAAGTTAGCACAAGGAATGATCTATACAGAGTATAATCCCTACTAATGTAACATTTTACATTAGCAATTTATTTAGAATAGTAAATTATGTATTTATTTTATTTACAGAGTAGGGAACAATTTAAATTGCTTACAAGTATTCAATAAGGTGCTTGACATCCGCCAAAGTAGATGTACCAAAGTCCAGTACTGGCAGACAGCAAGAAACAAGGCAAGCAAACTTTATAATAACTGAGGGAAAAAGAGATGAGCTCCCTGGAATGATATGAGGAAGGGCAGGTAGCTGGAGAAGTGCATTTTCTGCCTATGGCACCATGTTATAGATGCTGATTCCTGAGAACTACCAGCTATTAAGTTCTTATCTGTGCTTCTGGAGCCTGTCATTGCAGCCAAATGATGACATGAGGAGAAGATAAAGTAGCATCCCACAAATTATTGCTGCTGATGTTTTTCAAGGGTGCAGTTCTATGTTAAATAGCGTGAGCTGAAGTTCAGAGAAGTTAATAAGGGTGGACATGCTTAAGAAGTTAATAAGAGCTATGGATACCCCCACACTCCTGTGCCAGGCTGCTTCCCCCCCATACATTGTTCACTCTGGCTTTACATGACTCTAGTGTCACTATTCGTGTATTTTTGTCACTTTGCTTTTTTCTAGTTATTGAGCACCCATGCTAGGAAAGCTGCTATGGACTATTTTTCTGGTTGTTTTAGCTTTGAGTCAGAGCCAAAAGTTGCCATAATATTTTTTCCTAAAGTCTGACCACGATGGAGATCTTGCAAAAAGGAAGCTACATCTTATACTCCACACCTAGAAAACACAATGGATAAAAGGGCTTTTTTCTTTGCATAAATCTTAAACAAAATGACGGAAAATCACCTGAAAGACCAACATATACATATACATATATATATATATGTATAATTTTTAATCTAGCTGCATTTAAAGCAAAAGGCATGTAATATTATGAACAAAGGACTGTGAGGACATCGTCCTCTCTTTTGCTACTTGTTAGGTTAATTTTCGGAATGTTTGCAAAGTTTCGTTCACGTTTTTACCTTTTAAGAAAAAAGAGACAAGAATGTGTCACTATTGTACTTACATATTGGATTGTTGCTCACATAAGCCCTCTTTTATCATGTTAATATTCCTGAATAAATCAACTAATGCTGCTTGGTTGAGTAAGGACCACCCTTGTGAGCAAGGGTTGCCTTTTGTGCTGTGCAAAGTAACAAACAACTTTCAGGGATCTTTCATTAAAATGAGACTGTAAAGCATCTGCTGAAGCTGGATTCCTCATCTGAACTACCCACAGTACTACATCAGATAAACTTTAAGGAATTGTTCTATAGGATATAGAATCTATAGGACAGAGCATTTAGCTCTCCACCTCAAATTCTTAGTGTTAGTTTTTGGATCACTGGTGGTGACACCTTTTGTCAGACAAAACCTGTAGCACGTGGCTGGTGCTTCCTGAAACAGTAGATGGAGGATCTGTGTGGCATGCACTGAAGCCCTCCAAAGTTATGAAATACTTCACTACTCACATGAATCACTCTTAAAATATTAGAGGCATGTGTATCTAGGCATATCTTTGTGCCTGAATTCTGCAGATTTTATTAGAAGTGAGCACTGGCTGCGTGAGCGTGAGCTGGGGAAAGAAACGTGAAAGGTACAAAGCTTAGGAGAGCAGAAGTAGTGCAACACTTTAGAGCAACACCATGGCTCTCAGGCCTCTTTCTCCTTCCCCAGCCCCTCACAGCTTCTGAGCTATGCACGCCTTGTGCCAGACACCTTCGAAAGAGGCAGGTGGTTCACTGGGTGCTTCGCCCGAGCAGGGAGCACCTTTGCACGAGGAATGAAGCGCGGCCGCCTGAACC